CCGCTGGCCGATTTTACCGCAAAGACTACGACTCCCATGATGCTTAAATTGCGGCGCCAGCGCGGAGCAGACGCGCCCCCTCCTTTGTGTTTTTTCAGCGCCGAGGCAGTCAGAGGTAGTTGGGTGTCTGCAGCTCCGCTGTCTCGGACAAACTACACTCCTCTCACTCAGCGCCGAGTTCACTCAGCTGTTTTCTGACGTTGAAGCCCAGAAACGGAGATTCTAGCCGCTCAGTAATGTGTTCACGACTGAAAGAGAAAGTTTTCAAACTAACTTCCAGACAGAGCCGATATAACTCCAGCGAGCAGCGACACGCTCAAACCAGCACGGCTCTGTGGCTGCTGTCGTGTTCCCCCCCCGACACACAACAACGTGGTCAAGCTGCTCAGACATGTTCATCAGCACAAACCTATGTGAGCACCTGTTGTCATCTAATGTTGTCGTTATTATGATGAAGATGAACAAAACAACAGGAGTCTCCTCCTCAGCTCAGATCAACCCCATGATGCAGGTATGTGGCTGGAACAGGTGAGCATCACAGTAAACCAGTGGAACAAACTGAGCTTTAAATATGCTGGTTTTATGCTCTTTTTCTGCTCCAAAACATGAAAGTTAACAGGTGAGATGTTGCATTTTCATTTAAGATAAAATGATATTTTTATTTTGTTGTTGGCCCGTGAGAAAAGATTTAACCTACAGCAAACAGGAAGTGGAAAGGCTGCAGATAGATGAATAGAATAGAAAATCCCTTTATTGTTCCTCAGTGGGGAAAGCTAGATGTCACAGCAGCGATGACACTTATTACAGGAGAAAAAAAAAGAGAATAAAAAATAAGAAAAATGAATAAACAAGAAAACATAAATCCTGAATAGATTTTAAAAATGCTGATTATACCACAAGTAATGAATACCACTGATGCCTTTTATTTAAAACTGACTTGCTCGTGTGTAATTTGGTTATTCCACATTCAGTGTTAATGCAGAAATATGTTTGTTTCCAAATTTAAAGGTTCAAAATTGCATATATGTTGATAAAGAAAACGTGCAAATTTGCCATCACTGTTTCAAAAAATATTAAGTTTGGTCCTCGACTCCGTCCCAGAGTTTCATTTCGGCTCCTTGTGAGTTTGAGTTTGACACCCATGCTGTAAAGAGTAGCAATTTGCTGGGTTCCTTATATAGGAAACATTTTTTTCTGATTGGCTTAATGAACTGACCTGGATTGCAATGTTGATTATGTGAAGTGCCTGAGACGACTCTTGTCGTGATTTGGCGCTATATAAATAAAATTGAATTGAATTGAAATGTAGAGGGTGTGTTTTAAAAATCCAGCAGCTGACATTTCGGAGTTCCATTCATGTTGCCGCAGCGCTCGTTGTCCTGCTGTGTGTTTTGGCGTGCAGGTACCTGGCTGAGTGGATGACCTATGGCTACCCCACTGCCAATGTTTGGCCGCTGGACATCAAACGCTTTGGAAACCTGCAGAGCAGCCGAACCTTCCTGCGACACAGGGTCATGGAGGTCATGCGTGAGTACTGACCGCTCAGTTCTGTCTGAATAGGTGAAATAATGACCAGACTCAAGAGTAAAACAACATTAGAGCTGGCCTCTCTAGTGGACTAAAGTAGATTCTCACTGGGTGGATGTGAAATAAAGACTCAGGTCTTGAGAGAAATTTCATTTAAGTCAACATTAATTGAGTTAAATATGTACAAAGTATCCAGGTGTTAACCAATAAAAGCATTTTACTCTTAAAACAAGTTTACATGCATCCATAAAGCAGGTTTGACACTAATTCAGCCTGATATGCAAATGAAGAGCTTACAAGGCTTTTTTATTTTGGCAGTTGAGTTTTTCATTTTAAGCTGCTTCAGCAGGGAAATACGTTTTTGACACATCAGCATTTTATCAGGAAGGGTTTTTATGAGATGTTGCCACCAAGCCAAATATTGAATTCATACAAAGACATCAGAATTTAAGGGTACAAGTTGGGTCCTCAGTAAAGTATACGAGTATAATAAAGTTCAAGTATTGAACGCACTTCGTTTAATACTTTTTAGAAAAGCCTTTGTTGGTGATTACAGCCTCTAGACGCCTCTTGTATGGTGAGACCAGTCGTCTGCATTGCTCAGGAGGACTGATTCTGGCCCATTCTTCCACACAAACACAGTTTAAATCTTAAGGTTCCTTGGACTTCTGTTATGAACTTTGATTCTCGGTTCTCTCCATAGATGTTCTATGGGATTTAGGTCAGGTGATTCACTGGGCCGATCAAGCAATTAGATTTTCTTTCTTTGAAACCAATTCATTGTTTCTTTGGCCGTGTGTTTTGGATCATTTTCTTACTGAAATGTCCACCCTCTCTTCATTTCCGGCTTTCTGATAGATGGTGACAGATTTTTATCCAGAATGTCCCGGTACATTTATCCTGCCTTCAATAATATGAAGTCTGCCAGAACCCCTTGCTGAAAAGCAGTTGGAGCCCTCCCAAACTTAACTGTTGGTATGATGTTCTCGCTGTGGTGGGCAGTGCCATTTCTTCTCCAAACACGGTGTGAAGAAAAACAGCCAGAAGTTCCTTTTTGGTTTCATCTGACCATACTATAGTCTCCCAGTTCTCTGCAGACTTCTCCTAAAGCTGTTTCACAAACTTTAACCAAGCCTCAACATGCTTTTTGTTCAGCGGTGGAGTCTTGTGTGGTGAGTGTGCATGGCTGCCATGGTGGTTCAGTGCACTGCTTATGAAGAACTCTCCAGATTACTCTTTGGGCTCCTCGGACTGGGATCTTACATGGAGCACCTGATCGTGGTCAGTTTATGGTGAACTGATGCTCTTTCCATTTCCAGATGATGGCTCCCACAGTGCTCGCAGGAACATTCAGCATTGTGGAAACGCCCCTTTAACCGTTCTCATCAGAATGCTTTCCAACTACGAGTTCTTTGCTTTTACCCTTCATGGAGTCTTTTCTGTGTGCCTCCTAGGAAACGAGAAGCCTTCATAGGCCATCACTTAGAAGCAGCTACTATCAATTAGTACTGATAGGGGTTTCTCTCTCAATACTGACAGATTTCAGGTGATCTGGCTTTCTGTGCCTTTTTGCACCGTGTCATCTTCATGTGTTTAATACTGTTCCCCTGTGTTATTTCACTTGATTACACAGAACTCAATTTGTGGACTTATAATTTTATGTTTTTGCATTAATTAAACACTTTAGTTGATATTGGTGTGCAAATGTTGTCTCAATAACGCACTTAAAAAACCCTTACTGATGAAAATACTGATGTGTCAAATACTTATTTTCCCAGCTGTAAATGAGTTACCAGGGCCTCCGCAGTCAGACTTGGAGATGAACATTATTTTAACGTGTGTGTGTGTGTGTGCGTGTGTGCGCGCAGCTTTGCTGTTTGAGCTGAAGGTTCCACGGTGGGACTTTCAGACTGGCCGTCAGCTGAGGACGAGTCCACTCTACGACCGTCTGGACACCCAAGGAGCTCGCTGGATGGAGAAACACGGCTTTGAAAGACCCAAATATTTTGTTCCACCTGGGAAAGGTTTGATCTGCTCAGCAACAACATTTCATTATCTGTTAAGAACTTGAGGCATTGAAGTAGCTTTTATCCTTTTTATCAAAGAAAGGAAGGAATGTTTGAAGCGTGAATTCTACTGATGGTGTGACGGTTTCACAGTGAGACGTGTTCTCTCTGTAGATCTGCTGTCTCTAGACCAGAGTAAGACCTTCTACAAGCCAGACTGGTTTGACATCGTTGGAGCAGAAGTGAAATGCAGCAAAGAGGCTGTGTGTGTCATCGACATGTCGTCCTTCACCAAGTTTGAGCTGACTGTGAGTCACGATGCCCTGCAGACACGCTCTAATTAGATCCACTTCATGGAGAGCAGAGAAAAACGTTTCTGTGGCTTCAGACTGCTGAGCTGCATAGAACATCTGATCCGAGTTATGTTTAAACGTGATTTATATTAAAGTGGTTACGGCAACACAATCAGTGTTAAAAGAGTTTGTCCTGCTGACTCAGTCAACAGGAGACCAGGCCTTGGAGCTGCTGCAGTACTTGTGTGCCAATGACCTGGATGTTCATGTCGGACACATCGTCCACACGGGCATGCTGAACGAGCGAGGCGGCTATGAGAACGACTGCAGCGTGGTCCGCCTCAGCAAGAACAGGTTAGAATCGTCAGACCATCAGCGGTCAACACCTTACGGTCGATTTCAAAACGCAAATGGTGGAAAAAGTCTGCCTGTCGTTTGTTCTCTAGCTTCTTTATCATCTCTCCAACGGACCAGCAGGTCCACTGTTGGGCCTGGATAAAGAAGCACATGCCCAGCGACCCACATCTCCACCTGGAGGATGTCAGCTGGAAGTACACAGGTAGAGACGCTCCACCTTTACTTCATCGGGGCTAAGATGCTATATGATGATCCTTCCACTTGACCTGGTAGCAGGTTAAAATCCGGTCATACCGAACTCATACTAAACCGGGACTTGGGTGTACTACCACAGCCCGGGTTGCTGCCACTACCATAAGTCATATTTCCATCGCCGGGTCTGGTTTTTATGGACCGGTGTGTTCCGGTATGGGGCCGCACTTTTCAGGCGAGCATTTCGATTGCGGTTTAGGCACCGGGGGGGGGGGGGGTGCTGCGGGGTTAAACGCAGCATCATCCGCCTTGTGCGCCTTCAGGTCATACTTCGCGACAGGGAGATGCACCAAACCACAGCAACAATGGCGTCCAGGCAGCAGCACGTTCTTGTTGTCTGTGGTGTTTGGTATATTTTCTACACACATCACGATGGTTTTTAGAGCTACACTGTTTGCAGAGAAGAGGGCAGCTGATAGGAAATAAAGACGTCTGGCTTCAATATTAGACACGAGGCGCATCTTTTTGCTGCTAAGACGAAGAAAAAAGTGAGGCGCGAACTGGAGAAGCTACTGCCGCTCACAATTTGACAATTTCTAGCACTCACAGAGAACAGTCGCTTCTGCTTTGCTCCCTTATCTGCATTTCCCAAGGCTCTTTTTGTCCCGTCTGCCTACAGAGCGCTTCTCTGCATTTCCTCTGGAAATCACTATTTTTCAGCATGGATTTAATTAATTGGTCATTCAATGCGATTGATAAGATTTTTTCTACGATGAGAACGGAGGAGGGGGCTCGCGCTTGTCCTCACGGGACACATGCAGCGGGATATATGCTAGATTCCTGGAAGAAGTGGAATGTCATCTGTCTCTCTCAGCTGTCCATTGAGGACGTCGAAGATGTGTGGATATTTGGCCTGATGATCACTGGATTTCTTCTGATTGGAGTGGGAGGATATCTGGTTTTCCGAAAAATTGGGATAACGGGAGCGATTGGAGGGTGACCCGCAACCATGGACGGCATCGTCCGGGCGGAGACCTCACAGACTGGGACGTTACTAGAGGTGAATCGCAAGCTGGACAACGTCTTAGCTGCGTTACCGGTGTTAGTGCGCAAAATGGATGTCATCTCGGAGAGGGTCACCGGACGGTGTGGAGATGTTTAATCACCTAATTGGCTTCACTGGAGGACTTGAATGATCAATACAGACTTTAAGACAGAGAGGAAAATTATCTCTGCCTGACCCAAACAAAGTCCTGTTATCCAACCTGACGCCATAAGCAGCCTTGGAGTTGCGTGCAAAAACCCCCTCGATGGAAGGAATGCAGACAAATGCTGTGAAACCCTACCTACCCCCCCGCCTTCAGATTGTGGTCTCCGCATCGAGGTCATCAAGTTGAAGGCACTCACTGTGCTCTCTGCTTTCCCATGACCTCCCACCCACCTGTGGATTCAGTTGGCCGAGCGCCACACAGGCAGCTCCTGCTGAGGAAACCAGGGTCCCAGCCCCTCCCCCCACCTACCGGGTCTCACGTTGTGAACTGTGACGTTCGTGCTTGTATGTAGAGGTGTTTTTTTGCATAGTAGAGCTACACCCTGCCGGTGTAACTCTGTTAATGCCTTTTTCTCCCTCCCCGAACTCTCCTCATGTAATCCCCTCTTCATCTATTGAAATGAGCGCCGTCATGGCTGCTCTCGTGGTCTGCCTGTATCTGTCCTGTCTATGTGTGTGTGTGTGTAATCTTGGTCAGGCTGTTCTGTGGAGTCAAGTTCCTATGCTCTGGATCGCTGAAGCGCTGGCAATAAAATTCATTCTGATTCTGATTTTGAAAGAACGGATAACACTAGAAACACTGGTTTTGGCGTTATTATCGTACACCACAACATTCTGACTCTTCAAAAAAAAACAGTAAAAACACTCAAAAACGCTGGCAGCTGATCAGAAGAGCTTCCTATTCAATGAGCAATCTGCCCAAAAACTGCATTCAGGGCACCCACATTGTTCGAAATATCGCTCTGCAATGTTGGATTCGTGCAGCCTTGCTTCTGCTGAGTCCTGAAGCATCAGCCGAGTCTGTTCTCGGGTAATGCTTTCCAGCCTGTCCGTCCACCTTTCATCAGATATTTGAATCTCGTTGAGGATCAGGAGTGCGCGCGCAAATCTTAACGCCGTCTTTGATCACCTGTAGACCACAACACTGACATTTAAGCAGTTATGTTTTTCAATATATGGACAACAAAATGTCTGTTGTCCTGTGAACTAGTATAGTTTTGAATATGGACAAATCAATTTTAATTCTGCTCAGACGCTACCTGAGCGTCGAGCACATGGTGGACGGCCCCCTCAGATGAGTGTGGACATCCTGGCAGAGGTGGAGGGGGCGCTGAAGGTAGTGACAGAGGTGATGGTGGCACAGAATTTACTGGGATGCCACTCGAGGAAGTGGACGCATCCTCACCAGAGGAGGAGTGCTGTCCCCTGCTTCAGATGGGCCTGAAAAACACACATCAAAGGTTTTTTTGTACTAAGAAGCACAATGTTCACAGTTAAAGGTAAAATAGATAATTGACAGTTAGCATGTAGTAAACAAAAGAAAAGCACTCTCACATCACGAGACTTTACCCATGTAATAGCATGCTGTTGTATCTATACTTTTTAAGTAGTTTAAGTCTGTACTTTTACTTGTGTTTGTGTGTGATGTCAGAAGTTGATTCTTGATGCCACATAGGTGGTGATTTAGCCCGTTTCACCATGCTAAGCACACCTGGTTTTAGAGGTTTGATGTGAATTAACTTTTAGTTTGGGTTGGGGTTGGGAATGCCATTGGCTGAAGTTAGGGTATGGGTTAGGCATAGTGGAGTCTAAAATGAATGGAAGTCAATGGAGGTCCACGCAAGTATACAGATAGAAGTGTGTGTGGGCAGTTGTGTTTGTATGTGATGTGAGCTAGCGTATATAGGTGTAACCATCCTTATGCTAACAAATAAGTAACTTTTACTTTGAGTACATTTTATTTACGATACTCTACACATTTACTTGAGTAAAACATTTGGCAAATACTTTTACTTTCAGGTACTTGTACATAAGTAGGAAAGTTTAGCAGTCTTTCCACCGCTGCCTGCTGGAGCAGGTTACGACGATGACGCCTCACTTGGATCGTTGTTCGTTGTCATCATCACCCAGTCACCCACTGCGTTTAGTGAAGTGGGTCCAAACTTTAGAGGCTGTCTGTCTGCCATGCTGCTTGCTCCTTTTACAGCTCACCCACAGCGATGCATTACGCTCGCCTCGCCTCTGTCAGTGCACCCCAGGGCAGCTGTGGCTACTTAGTAGCTCATCAACGCAACCATCAGGTCGTGCTTTTTCCAGCTTCGCCAGATCACTCGCCTTAAGCCCGCATCTCGAGTCAGTCATCCACGCGTTCATTACCCCCCGTCTAGATTAAGCAAATGCAGTCCTGATTGGGATTAGTGCTTCTGCCTTGGGCAGACTACAGAAGGGTCAAAATGCTGCTGCCAGATTCTTAACCAACACCAACAGACGCACACACATGCTCTCCATCAAATTTAGAATTCACTTCAAAATCCTGCTGTTTGTCTACAAGGCTTAGAACTGCCCTTCACCCTCTTACCTGGCCGGCCCGCTGCGTCTCTACACACCCACCCGTGCCCTTCGTTCCGAAGGTTCACTATAAATCTCGGGGTGAGCGTTTCTTCTCACACGCTGCCCCTAAACTCTGGAACTCTCTGCCCCTCCATGTTTGTCAGGCACCTTGTAGGTTTAAGTCTGCCCTCCAAACACACTATTTTAAGCTGGCTTTTCCCACGACTGTCCTCATACGCCAGCGTGACGCTTCTGTTAGCGGCACCTTGTGACATTCTTCTGTACTTTTTAGCTCACTAAAGTTGCTCAGTTAGTTTTTACGTGTTTCTCTTTTATCTCTCATCTTAGTGCTTTTACTTGTTTTATGGTTAGTTAACTTTTAATGTCATTTTATGCCTTTTAGCTTTATATTTTACTCCTATGCTGTATTTGTTGTGTGTGAGTCTTTGGCTCCCATGTACAGCACTTTGGTTAGCTGCCATGCTATTTTTAAATGTGCTCTATAAATAAACTGGTATGGTATGGTGTCACCATCAGTGTGTGAATGTTTGTGTGAATGGATGAATGATACACTGTAGTGTAAAGCGCTTTGGAGTCCTTACTCTGAAAGGCGCTATACCAGTGCGGGTCATGTACTGTCTATCTTGGCAAATTGCTGTCTCATAGGTTCTCGTTTTAACGAAGGACAGAAATCAAAACAAGGCACCGTTTCATATCACGTGAATCGGTCCTCGGTAGGTACCACAGAATTTGATCGATGCCTTAAAAAGTACCAAATTCGGTACGACATCACATGCCTTGGCCGATCAAATTCACCAAGATTAATCAAGCCTAGCTGCTAGCCTGCCATCAGAGCTGGCATCAGGTTAGCCTTGTTTGTGGAACCAGATCTGGAGAAATTAAGCCGGGATTTTCTAAGCGAACCTGGCTTTTGGGATTATCTCACTTGATGGAACAGCCCTCTGGTGTCTCTAGTCATCATCATCAGATGATCTGCTTTAAGGGCTGCAGCATGAACCAGGACTTTTTAAATTTCCTAAAAACTTCAGTTTATGTATGTGTATTGGTACTTGTACTTCTGTAGTATTTTTACCACCTCCGGTAATATTGTTGTTACTTTGAAAGACACTTGGGTTCAATGTACACCGTTATCCATGTTAAACACTGGTGCCGGGACTTTTGGGGTCTTCAGGTCAGCTTGCTGCCCATCGCTGTGCTGTCTCTGCTCTTTAGCCTCGTGTATGAAATAATCATGATAAACATCATGGGCATAGCCCTCTAGTGTGCTTTAAAAAGCTGTAAATGTGCTAAATAATTCACTCTTTACTTCTTAGGCATTTCTTAAATGGGTTGTGCAACTACTCAGTGTTTTGGTGCAGCAGTTAATGGTCTGCAGAGCTCAAAGACAAAGAAAGAAATGCTTACCAACGGGGTTCACAAGTGGCTCCAGTAGTGCGGTCGCTGAGTCTAGGCCTGCCTAGATTCGCCGGTCTGTGTCCGTACATAGCATCCAGCGCGTCGTACCACCTCCATGTGTTTGTCCCATTTCCACTCCAGCCGTTGCTGTCCTTCTGTTTTCTGTACTGTAATTTCTTCAGCTTTGCCAGACACTGCTCCGAGGTGTGCTGGAGTCCTTCGGCAGCCATTCGCTGAGAAACTTTTTCGCTGAGAAACTTCTCAGCGTCCCAGCCCATCTAGCTCATATATATATATTGAGTTTTGCAGTTGGTTTAAAAAACATTAATGTGACTCGAAATGACAATTTTTTTACACATTTGTAATCTTTCTCAAATAAACTGTCATTTTTTTTTTATCTGCCCATGAACCATAATTTTATAAGGAAGCAAATGGACAAGAAACATGTTAATAGTACTGTTATTAAAAAACCTCATTATTCATTTGCACTTTCCCATAACAGGTCATGCAAATCTCGGCTGGCATGCTCTTTTCGGCACAGCTGTTAAATTGCGCCCCACAAAAAAAAATGTCACCAGTCGCCACGGCAACCGGCGCAGAAAAATCAACGATCAGACCCTTCCCATTCAATGCCAGAACTAATGGACACGAGCTAAAGCTAGACCTGGTTCTGACAGAACACCTCTCTCATCACACACACACCTTTGTCCTTTACCTACAGCTCTGAATCTGATCGGACCTCGGGCGATGGACGTCCTGGCTGAGCTGTCGTATGTTTCCATGACGCCTGATCACTTCCCCTCCATGTTCTGTAAGGTAAAAGATGACTGCTGTAGCAACACTGCTGAGATGGTTCTTTTGATCATATGCATAAGAGCAGTATCTGTGTGTGTGTGTGTGTGTTTACAGGAGATGAGTGTGGGCTACGCCAATGGGATCAGAGTAATGAGCATGACTCACACTGGAGAACCAGGCTTCATGCTCTACATCCCCATAGAGGTGAGGCCTCCATTCACATCGACACCATTAAGTCCACATGCTGCAGGACGTTTGGTAGAGCTCTGGTACGTGCGGACGTCAAATCCCGGAGAGCCAGTGTCCAGCGTGTTTTCCTTTTAGCCAGCACACCTGATTTCAAACAGCAGGTGATTAACGGGCTCTAGCCTGATGAGCTGCTGCACAGGTGATTCAGCCATTGAATCGGGTGTGTTGGAGTAGAGAAACGAGGAAAACATGCTGGATATCGGCTCCCGAGGACCAGGAGTGAGTACCACTGTTACACAGGAATGAAAACCGACCATTCTGGTCGTTGGTCGTCCTGCCACGGGATCGATGTGACGCTCAGGTGTGGAGAAAGTTGTCGGTTCCTTTTTGCTGAAGAAAGCAAAAACCTACATCATCAGTTTAAACTGTTGAATGCAAGACTAAATATAGAAAATAACTGAAAATCAGCTAATTACACTCAGAAAAGTATTGGTAAACAACAACCTGATGTCTAACTGCTGTCTGCAGTACGCGCTACACGTCTACAATGAGGTGATGTCGGTGGGTCAGAAGTATGGCGTCCGTAACGCCGGCTACTACGCTCTGAGGAGCCTTCGCATCGAGAAATTCTTCGCCTTCTGGGGTCAGGACCTGGACGCCTTCACCACACCACTGGAGTGTGGACGAGAGTTCAGGGTCAAGTTTGACAAGGTGTGTTTGGCTGAGAGACGATGATGGGGTCTCACTCCTAACCTTGTTAACCTGCTCTCTGCTTCTCCATCAGGACACCGCCTTCCTTGGTCGTGAGGCGTTGCTGCAGCAGCGTCAGGAAGGCGTGTTCCGGCGGTTTGTCATGCTGGTTCTGGAGGACCACGACACCGAGCTGGACCTGTGGCCATGGTGGGGAGAGCCTGTCTACCGGAACGGTCTGCTGGCTGGGACCACCACCAGCAGCGCCTACAGCTACACTCTAGAGCGCCATGTCTGCCTGGGCTTTGTGTCCCCTCCCCCTGGCGCAGAGGGGCTCCCCACCCCCATCACCCCTGACTTCATCAACCGCGGAGACTACGAGGTGGACATTGCCGGGCAGCGCTATCCGGCCAAAGCCAAACTCTACCCCTTTAGCTCCCTCTTTGCTCAACAGAAACGGAGAAAGGAAGACATGGAGCTGAGTAACCTCCAGGGAAAGTGAGACGGGGGGATGAGGTCTCCGTCTGAGACACTCCATCAGGTCACCACGTCCACGCCGTGCCAGATGCTCACTCCTTACTTGTTCCTGTAAAACTTATTTCCAAACAGCGGTCTGCTTTTAACGTGCAATATGAGATGTTTGATCGATGCCTCCGTCTCAGTCCTGCTTCCCTGCTGCACATGCGGACACATCCAGATGTTTTCTGATTGTGTTTCAGTTATTTTAGGGCTTCGTGAATGAATCAGACAGAAATGTGCGACGTGGCCAATGCTGCTGTAATAATACACGAGTTCAGAGACTTTACCCTCTTCCCTGCTCCCAGCCCCACAACACAATACTTAAAATCAGAAAATGAGGCTTTAAGCATTAAACAAGCCTGAGGAATGGATGAATAATGTGTTGCAGTTCCGCCTCCAGCCCCGGTAACGTGTGCTGGATGTGTGCCGAGCCCGTGATGAACCCGTCGTCTGACCTGAGACTTATTTATGTTCCATGTTTGTGCACTTTGGAGGCTTTTGTGCAGTTTTGGTGGCTAACGAGTCCTAGCATAAATGATTTTAGATGGTTGTGTAAAGGAAGGATTTCACTGCTGGTTGAAATAAAAAATGTATTTTTGTATAGGCAGTGTGTGTATGAAATGCTTTAGTGCTGTATATTTTTTATTACGAGCCATATCAGCTGCACCGAGCCTGCCGTTTCTCGTTTCACCTCCATTGAATCCTAATAAAGAGCCGTGGGTCTTTTGGAACGGAGTGTTTAAACGCCACCTGCAGGCTGGGCGGGCGTTCCAGACCATCTTCCGTTTTGTGACTTTGAAAACATTTAGATTTATGGTCTAAATGACTTGAGACAGAAAACGGATAAAGGTTGAAACGTTGCAGAAAGATGATCTGCTGGACAGACTCTTTAGACGCCTCCTTCAGCCCATGTGGGAAAACGGAGTTTGACTTATTTTACCAGCTGTAGCTGACCTGAGATGGGAAATGGACAAACTACAGACTAATGAGCTGAGACCAGCCAGGAGGATGTTCCGAGTGGAATGTTCCTACATGTCTGCTGCTGTGGAGCGCAGGACGGATGCAGGACAGCAGGTCTCATGCTGCCAGATAAGGGTCAGTGTTCTTGTGAAGCATCTGTAGTGAAGGTGGGCTCATGTTTGAAAGAATCAAGCAGAGTTTAGACTATTTTACAGATTTTGTTTTCTAAAACAAGCATTTTATTTAGGCCTTGTTTAATGATGGACAACACGTGCTGATGTGTGGAAAAAGGCAACGGTTTTGTCAAATCATTAACATACGTTTTCCTAAAGACCTTCTGGACTTACAGATGCATTAACTTACACACCTGACTTGACTCTGCTCAAGTAAAAAAAAAGTGAAAACACACAAAAGGACCAAATACAGTTCCAGGCCTGTTCCTCAGACAGCTGACGGTGACCAGAGGAGCTGCAGGGACATGGAAGGTGGACAGTAGCAGAGGGCGTCTCATGAGCTACAATTACATGTCCCAACACTGCCTCCTGTGGTTCAGCTCAGAGCCAGAGTTACACAACACATGCACGTTGGCCCAGACATCACATCCTCCTGGCTTTACGTGGACGGCAGCCATTGTGTGGCACGGGGGTGTTGTCGGTGATGGATACCACCTCCAGGCCTCCCATGGCCAGGCCTTTGATGGCAGACTGCAACAACAGGAAAAAGAAACAGTCAGTCATTACGGAGACCAAGATGTCAGCCACTCCTTCAATTACACTCAATAGGAAAAGTCTGGCGTTCATTAGCAAGGCGTTTGGCCTCGCAGTGACAGGTTGGGTTGGCTGAGGGACGGGGTCACCGCTCCAGGACGGGGAAAAATACCAGCGTCTTTAGCGTTTTCTTCTTTATTTAGTCACACACTAATGTGACTGCAGGGTGTGCTCCAACTACAGGGGGATCACACTCCTGAGCCTCCCTCGTAAGGTCTATTCAGGGGTTCTGGAGAGGAGGGTCCCACGGACTGTCGAACCTCAGATTCAGGAGGAACAATATGGTTTTTGTCCTGGCCGTGGAACACTGGAGTAGCTCCATACCCTCGGGGAAGGGGGGGGGGGGGGGGGGGTAATCTTGGACGGTGTGTGGGAGTGGAAAAACAGTAGAATGCCTTCTCCAGGTCAGGGACGAGGAACATACATCACTCCGGTCTGCCGGTCCAGTGGAACTGCCCCCGATATCCACATGATATTGCAGAGCCGCGCCAGCCAACACCACCCTACAGCATCCAGAGCCGTAAGGAGCTCTGGGCGGATCCCATCCACCCCCGGGGTCTTGCCACTGAGGAGCTTTATGAAAACTTCAGTGACCTCAGCACCAAAGATTGGAGAGCCCAACCCAAAGTCCCCAGACTCTGCTTCCTCACTGGAAGACGTGCCGGTGGGATTGAGGAGGTCTTTGAAGTATTCTTCCCACCGATCCACAACGTGGAGGTCAGCAGCACACCGTCCCCACTATAAACAGTGTTGGTAACACACTGCCTTCCCCTCCTGAGGCGCTGGACGGTGGACCAGAATCTCCTCAAAGCTGTATGAAAGTCGTGCTCCATGGTCTCACCGAACTCATGTTAATAATCGTGGTTTTATTATTGACTATAATAACAATAGTGATGAAGGGTTTGGCTGTAAACGGGCACCCGTAGCTGACATCACAATAACCTGCTGACTTGACCAATGTGTTTGGCCTTCATGGATGTGCTGGACCGATCCTCTGCGCGTGCGTGTGTGTGTGTGTGTGTGTGTGTGTGTGTTGTTCCTCAGCAGAGTGAATTCTAATGCTCTGACTGCCCTTTATAAAATCCCCGTAGAGCCTGATATACAGAAGGCTGCAGAACTAGGCTTACTCCTCCTAAATGAACACACCACCCACTAATAACAAATGCATTCATGACATTTTACAATGTTTAAGGTTGGAAAAGATCATATTTTCCCTAAGAGCTTCCCTAGAGGAGCTCAGTAAAACCTCACGAGCATTTTTAAAACACACCCAACCAGAGAAATTAAAGGGATAGTTCAGTTGTTTTACTTAGAAGCAGAACTTCAGCGGTCAGGGTTAAATACCCGAGCTGATGCGTTAATACTGCTGTTAGACTGTCTCAGCTCTAATTACAGCTTTTTACAAACGCTAGGACACATTACTCAATACTTGGGTCACTTTTGCACACAGTGAGCACAACAGAAGTCCATGTGGGCTAAACTGAGGATCAGTTATCACTGTTCAGCCACAAAACGCATTCAGTGACTACATCTCTCAAATGTCATCAATTCATTCCTCACTCAGACACAACTGCCATGAATCTTTGCACCAACAGGGCATTTTGCACACGCTCACATACTGTTTACAGAACAGTTAAACTTACGTTCAAAACAACAACATAGTGCAAAACTGAATTAGGTGGGAAGACTCAACAGCAATGTTTTACTGAAACATATTTTAAATCTAAAAATGCAGTTTAAGCAGCCACAGCTGATTCTCACGGTAGAGGAACATCTACACAGCTGTTACTCTTTCTATTGCATCACAAAAGCAGACGACTGCTGAATGGGTTGTATTGTGACATAAACATGGACCCAGCCAGAACTAGAGAAGAGGCTGAAACAGGAAGAAGAGAGGCCGTATGAATGCCTGGACACATCGGTCTGTTGCATCTGTATCGGTGGATGGTGTGTGTAAATTGTTGTATTTTGGAATTAGCAAAACATAAAAATAAATAAACAACATTAAATATCGACAAATTCTGCATCATGTCTGGTTCATTCCAGTAACATATGTTGCAGTTATGGACAATATATATCAGAGACAGACGTGTCCTTGTTTTACACAACAGTGTAATGCTGCATGTTGTTGTGTTTTTTAGGTTTGTGGGTGACAACATGCGTTTGTCGGCTGTCAACCGTTGCAAGTGTTCTGGAGGAGAGTGTGTGTTTGAGACCTGAATGAAGTGTTTTGGTAGTTGTCAAGAATTTTGAATGTGAAATGAACAGCTTTGCCGAGCTGACACTCAAGAGAATCGTGTCAAGTGTGCCAAAGTGACCCAAGTGTGTGTCCTAGCGTCTGTAAAAAAAAACTGTAATCTACATTAAGAAATACTGTTTTAATGCAAATGATGCAAATAGTTGACATAAATTTGTTCTGTAAATTTTAGTGGAACAAAACATTCATCCCCCCCCAAAAAAATACGTATCATCAGGCTACCCTGATCAGTGCAGACTCAACCCATCCACTGAACCCACATTTTTAGTGACTTCCGTCAGGAAGTGGGTTCAGAGTTCCATTGGCCAAGAAAGGTGTCTATAAGAAATCATTTGTTCCCACTGCAATTACAATTTAGAGTTCTGAAAGTTTTTTTACGATGATAACATTCTAATACCTTTTAATTGTCTTTTTATGTATTTGTGTGAATGCGATATGGATTGTATTGTAAGGTGAGCCATGTCAAAGGCGAATTTCTGCCTCAATTCGAGGTGGACAATAAAGTCCATCCATCCATTCGAGGTGGACAATAACGTCAGTCCGTCCATCTAAAACTGAACAGCTGTTGTTAAGAATAACATTAAAGACCAGCAGAAGTCGAACGACGACTCACCAGACGTCCAGGACCCAGACCTTTGACCACCACCCGAACAAACGTGACTCCCTTGGCCGTGGCTTTCTGTTGGGACAAAAAAAAACCCTGATGATTGTGTTCTCAGAGGTCCAGATGAACCCTGTAGAAATAAAACAGCTACAACCACACCTGCCTTGCTGTAGAACAGTGAGACCGATCTCCTTTTTTTTACTAACAAAATGGATTAAATTCTCACCTTCAACTGTAGCTAAAATGTTGACAGATTTGTCTAAATATTCTTTTAGTTTTTCCTCCAAAACAATAAACGACCACTTCTGTATCTTTCCTGCTGAAAATGAAACAATCTGTTAGCTTTGTTGGCCTGCAGCTGTGGTGGATCAGAGGAAGACAAAGTCTGGATGAGATTTTTTAAAGGCTGTCAGCTCCAGTTAGTAGAAGTCCTTAGAGGAAGCAGCGTACTCGCCTGACATTTAATATTCATGAACTAAGCGCTGCTACGCAGAGTGCTGAAGCTGCACGGGTTGTGGAGTCTGCACTAATTTACTGGTGTTCTGAGAGATAATGAAGGGTTCAAGTAGGAAGAGACCCTGTTCCTGCAGGTTATGAGCAGAACAAGCAGAGGAGGACAAACTCACAGCAGCAGCGGAGATTCCTGCAGTCTGAGAAGCGATGGGCGTGGACTTCTTGATGTTCTTGAAGCCCTCTGTGCCACAGGATGTCCTGACCATGGGCTGTCCTGTGCTGTCTATGAGCTGGATGTGTGTGCTGGAGAAGAACACAGTAGTTCAGAGGGCCACTTGCACACAAGAAATAGTTGTTTGTTTGTTTGTTTGTGACTTAAAACCCGCCCTGGCTTGTTGGATGAGATGGTTTAGTGATGGGAGTAGGTCGTTCCCCTTCCTGTTTCCCTTCTAAGAGCAGTTCTGCACTCTTTGTACACTCCTGGGGCTGCATTTATAAACCGTACTTACCAATAGATCCGTGCGTATTTCGTGCGTGGGAATGACTTTACGCATTGTGTGGTATTTACCAATTTGTACTTGTGCGTGAAAATGTTCCTAAATATAAGAACAGCTCTGGCCAAGTGTAGGACCAACATCTAGTGGTAGAACCGCAGCACTGAAGGTCTCAGTCGTCCACACACGTTCCTCATCCACAAATTATTTAACCCATTAAGTAATTATTTCAGTATACAAACAGCTGTGTAGCATAACTGGTGCTACAACACTCGACGGGAATCTGACATTGTGGAATGGTTGTCGTGGTTTTGTAATCGCAATTTTGTCTCTTCCCATTTTTATGATGTTTTAATCTTTTTAATGAAATAATATTATTTTAAATTAAATGTAATTATATTATATTTTGTCCTTGTGAAACGACTCGTGATTTTGCTTGGACGTTTCTATATTATCACTGAGGATTTGTCAGCGCGTGCTCTCTGGAGTAAACGCATTTCCATGAGCGCACTGACAGGAGATCCTCCTAGAACTATGCTGTGATATGGGACTCTTTGTAGAGCTTCATCTAAACCGCACAAATCCGATTCCAGTTCATATTCTATTTTACAACTACGAGAACTCCCAGAACCTCCTCTGCTCCCCGATCACACACACGTTGTCAAGGTAACCGAACTGAATGACAGCTTAGAGGCTGCACTCAGACATTTCCAAATAAAACGAACATGATCCAGAACAACTCCTTCAATGTAACCAGTTACTCTACGATTTATCATATTACATTTTTTTTATTTATTCCTGATGGAAGCCTCTCCTCTGTCCCTACTGCGTTTATAACCTCTGCAACTTGTTTGGTTATTTTGCACTTCGACAGCCAGTAACACAAGGAATCCCCTCACATGCTGAGGAGGTATCGCGACCAAATATGGTTAATTGCGAGCGTTTCTGCATGAAAATGACTGAGAACGGACACGAGCACCTGGGTACGCACCGGTGGGATTTACCATAAGACGATTGCGGAGGAACGTGCGTACAAGAGGCCACAGCATGTTTCATGAATTAGGATTTTGATCGTATGACGAACATTCTAAATTTCGTTCGTGGGAAGGAATTTAGGAATTTTTCGATGAACGTTTGATACATGAGGCCCCTGTTCTGTTGAGGATTCCCATGTTTGTGTCTGCTTTAAATGGGAAGCTGTAGCCCCTCTGAATGCCTCAGTCTGGATGAATTTAAATCCTTGATGGCACTGAACTTTCACAACCTAAATACTGGAACAATTCTCTTAGCACAATCTGCAGCTCTGATCATAGAATGTTGGGAAAATATTTCCCAAAAACCTGGGTGTCTTCTTTAGTGGTTCTGAATCATTCATTTTATGTGCTTTGTTGAATGTGTCGTTTACAAATGTGCTCTCAAATAATTCTACATTGACTAGATTTTCATTATGAACACACTTCCTGCTAATAATGCACTAACCAGACACAAGTACACGAAATACATTTAATTAGAAATAAACTTTAATGCAGGCCCAGGAAATAGGCGCACTCACTTGTTGTACGTGGCTTTAATGTGAACTATTGGTAACTCGTCAAACTTCTTTCCGCCCCAGCTCAGTGCGCTGTCTTGGCCAGGCATAGGAGGATAAAAGCTGAAAATATAAGAAAAAATAAACCAACCGGGTCAAAGTTTACGGAACGATAACCAGCACATTTTATAGCGTGCAGCCGTGGAAACACATTTAAACAAATGCAAAAGACGTGATAAAGTCATACCTGAATTCTTTGCCAGACTTTGTTTCGGAGGCTTCTGCCTCCTGGTGTCTCACCGCACTGCTAAACAGTGTTCTCTGCAGCGGAGTCCCTCTACTTCCAACTCTAAACAATGTCATCAACATCGTTTTAATAACCAAGTTAGACTGGTTTGACATTTAGTTTCTTGCCGTGTAGAAAATGTGCACAAGAGTCAGGTCCTACTCAAAATGTGTCGTGCCACAATGAGATGGTACTAGCTTAGAAATAGCTGTTTAGCTAACAGCAGACTGCGTAATCCACATGAAACACTTACAGAGACGTTCCGTTTCCATTTAGCGAGGCGACAAACTGTCGACATACGATGCTGGCGGAGTTAAATAAAACACAGTTAAATTTAAACATGTTTTAGTAACTCAAACACGTTGGCATTCAGCCTACAACTGTTTTATAAACAACTAACGTGACATTGAAGGGGCTGCTCACTGAAACGTTTGGGACTAGTGACCGTGAGGGATGGCACGGTAAAAGATTTCTGTTAACATGATGTTTTATCACTATTATCAAATGAAAGATGTACGTAATACTTAAAAAGATGTTTAGAATATGTATATTATATATTACTATTTTAGTTTTTATCATTTTAACTTTTAAACAGTGACCCCCCCACCCCCTCGTTTTTTAAAGAATAGACCATTCGTTTGCCGCAAAGACTTGTGGGTAGAAAGGTTGTTGCCTTCAAAAACTAAAAAAAAACTCGAAATTTTCAGTATCTATCTGTAAATCCCCACTTTATGGTTTAAAGTCCCAATAAGTGTACCTATTGCAAATTACTCAAATAAAAACATTTTTATCAAACACTAGAGCAATATTTTTGGCATTTTTATAGCGAAAGAAAAGTTACAAATCGCTCCCGTAACGAGTAACAGCTACCATCTTGATTTTTTCGGTAAACATGGAATGTAACACAAAAAGATGGCTGCGCCCGGTAGAAAGAAGATGAGTCGATCCTTCGTGCAGCTTTTGTGTCATTTTAACAGAACAGCTGTCAGCAGTGAAGGGTGTCGCCACTTTTCCATCACTTCTGTAAGTAGGGCGACTCCTCAGCCGAAAGATGTTACGTGGAGAGTGGGTTCTCCTTGGACTTTGATGGCAGCGGTGTGTCTTCAGAGGCTTCCGGTCATTTCAGCGGACTGCAACCCGTTGGAGCAGCGATTCCAAAACCTGATGCAGCAGGTGCGTTCTGAGACAAAACCCCTCACATCTGTGACATCACTAACGCAACCGTTTTACATAATAACATTTTATATAATAGTTAGTAAATGGTCAATTTTCATTCCAGACACAATAGTAATGGTTATGATTAATTTAGCCTTTTTCTATCGTCAGTTTAATTATTGGCTATTTAAACATTTTCTAGTGAATTCTCTCAATCATGTCTCAAAATCAACAAAGTTAACAATGCAACAGGAGGAGTCTCCACAGAACATAAAAACATTAATGATGTTCTGACATTCATAACAACTAAAATAAACGAAAAAACTCTATGAAAGTGTAACAACCTCAACCTCTCTTTAAAGCTAAGACTGTTTATTAATTTTCATCTCGTTAGATACATTGTAACTTAAAGGTGCATTTTGTAGAAATGAAGTAGAAAAGACATCCTGTGGTAAAATGTGGCTACTGCAACCACTTTAAACAACTCTGGAGCTTTCTGCCGGCCTTTGTCAAATTAAAATGGTCGGCACTGTAGTATTAGCTCGCAGGAGACATGACACCCCCGCAATCACTGATGGTAAACAATAGTTACGTCCCCCCTTCCTTTGTTTTGAAAGGAGGAAAACTGACAATCCAGCAACCAGCTGGATATGAAACATGTTCCAGTATAACCTTCCTTCCAAAATGACTGAAACATCAGACTTTTTTGGGATTTTCTCACAGTAAAGTTCTCCCTATATTCTTACATACTGCACCTTTAAATAAGAGGCTGCACTGAGATTAAATTTAAAATGCTAGAAAAGGTTTCTATGCCAAGACAAATGCTAAAAACATCATAACACAAAGAAAAGGCAAAATGTGGAGGAAGAAAATCTCACTATTTCCTTTAAACAAAAAGATAAAGGTCTAAATTATTTTAGGAAAAAGATCTAAAGCTCTCTCTTTCCCAAGGAAGTGGGTGCTGTTGTCTTCCTAAAGTTCTGGTAGTAAACTATACAAATGGAGGTCTTTTGCCTACTTCCACCTTTTAACCAAGAAGAACTTCCCCTAGCCCTTCACAATAAGAAGTTCATTAGTACATACGTACTTCAGAACACCCAAAGCTTATAAAATAGTTAGTTTTTCCAGAGAGCAATATTTATAATAATAATAAATAATTTATTATAATCTTTAGATGTTTTCTGCTACATGTGAACGTTTGAGACTCTTAATGTGAAGGATTGAAGGAAGTTCTTTGAGTTCCTCTGTGGACTGCTGTGGAAGTAGCCAAAAGCCTTGTTTCTGTCTTCTTTGATGCATTAAATAAACATTTGTAATCCATATACATATAATTTTATAGGCCAGTTACCAATGTGAAACCTTTTAATCTGACCTCTAGGCTGTGAATTTGGCACTTTTACTGTATTTTCAGTAGTTAGACAGATTTAAATAGTTGCATATTCTTGTTTTCATTTATTTTTCACAACTCCAGGTACAAAAATCTCTGACCTTTAAGGTTATACAAAGAAGGAGAGTAGAAACCACAAAAACTTGAACTTTAAACTTTCAAATTGTAAATTAGATAATTACCACATAGCTTAACATCTCTGTCGGATGTCATCATGGTTCTCTCTAGTCGAGAGTCGTGCTGCTCTGCCATGTTTAGTTCTAGACTCTGAAGCCTGAGACAGACGCGTGCTGGTTTCAGGTGGAGCTGGAGAAAAGTCTGCTGTCGGACCACGAGCTGCAGCTTCTGGAGGACGCAGAGAGGATGAGGCGTAAGCAGGCTGCTGACTACGACTCGGATGAGGAGGGCGGCCGTGACGACCAGGATATCGTGTTGGCTCAGGACCTAGAAGACAACTGGGAACAGAAGTTACGGAGTTTCCAGCCAGCACCGAGGGTCAGAGGTCAGTGTGGGGGAGTTTTAATCATCCTGTGTTACAAATGTACCCGATATAATCCACACGTGTGTTATTCACACCAGGGGCGTGTCTAGGGAGTGGCCTGGGGTAGCACATGCCACCCTTGGAATCTGACTGGCCACCCCAGGTGCCAACAAACTAATTTACCTTTAAATAGGATTTTTGTTGTCCACAAAAGGCTTGGGGGGGGGGGGGGGGGGGGGGGTAAAAAACAAATAAATAGCATAACCTTTGGTGCCACCCATGCACAAAGTTGTGCCTCACCTGGGCCACGCCGTTTTACAGGATCTGCACACGCTACAGATTCACACAGTAAAGCAGAGAAGATCGGGTTGTGTGTGGATGTTTCTGAGAGCTGGGTTTAATTTAAATTATCAGGGACGTAAAAGACTTTTTTCTTTTCTCTGACATTCAGAAAATCTATCTGCTCCAGAACTTCCATTAGCATTCTCCTGCCTGTGACATTTGGAAAGTTGGTGTAAAATTAGCTCACACAGGCTCAGCGGGCAGTTTTTTCACGCGTCTGCCTTATTCCATCCTGTCTAGCTGACGTCGATAAGGACTTAACCTCGGTGGAGCGTTGCCTGGCCGAGCCTCTGCTACTTCTGACCAAGCAGCAGGTGGGCGACGAGAAGCTGTGGCTGCTGCCGCAGGCTCCGTGGCAGGCCGGAGAAACGCTGCGACAGACGGCTGAGAGAGCCCTCACCACCGTCACAGGTAACACGGCCTCTTAAGAACCACACAAAGCTGCATTTATCAAACCCCTTTTCTTTTTTTGCCTCCTTCTTTAAGCAGTTAAGTCTTTTTTAATCTAACTGAGGCGCGCCGTTCTGTAATGGTTAATCACCTCTCGGCTCGGTGCTGCAGCTACGGCTCCTCGAAAAACTCATCTAAGTTCCACAGAACTTTTGAAGTTCTGATGTCAGACTTTAAAGGCTGCCTGACTTCTCCTCTGAACATAAAAACAACATCTTATGGAAATTATGACATTTTTTTAAAAAGCCAACATATGTTTTTATAGTGAAGAAATGTGTTTTTCAGATTTAAAAATCTGTTAAAAATCCAGGAGAGTGCTGGGTTTGGACGTAAATCACAATATAATAATAATCATATATAAAACATATATGATATTTTATTATAAATAAACCACATGTGTCGGTGTAAGAGGCTGATGTTCCTCCTCCTGAGTCTATAGTAGGGGTGTGTATTGGTGACATTCTGGCGATACCGTACAGGGGAGACGATACGATGTATTGCGATACATTCAGCCAGAAGATATTAGTGATTTTTTAGACTGAATTTATTGTAGGAAAATTCAATAAACAGTCCAAACTGATACGTAACATGTTTAACATGAGGTCTCTGAACCATAATAGAGGGATTTAAGCTTGGTTTATGCTTGACGCATTCACTTTCCGCACGGTGATGCGGCTCGCGGATGGAACGCGCTTCACAACTCGCAGCGTTTATGGTTCATGAGGCTTGTCTCTGCTGTGAGCCAATATTCTCCCAAACTGTAGGGGGCAGCATGGAGCTCTACGGCATGCACCCAACACTACACCATAGTAGAAGTAGAAATTACTGTTTACAACATGGCATTTCAGCATTTTTAACAGCGTTCTCGTCTTTTCCGACAGTGCGAGCTATTTCTCTCCAAGAATTATTAACAACATGTTGATCCCGGTGATCTCTGAGAGCTGAATCATACAAATGTCTGTATTTACGAACCTCTACCATACTAGTTCTTGCCGGTCCGCCATGTTTTTCCGCGTCCGTCCGTCCGCCCGCGTGGTTGGTTTATGCTTGACGAATCCGCGAGGTCCGCACGGCTCCGCGCAGAAAAGTTGCGTCATTTTGCGTCATTTTAACAACCACGCGCCTCCGCACGGCCCAGAATTTCCGCAACGTGCACCTCGGAAAATTTCTAACCATGCGGACGGACGGACGCGGAAAACCATGGCGGACCGGCAAGAACTAGTATGGCAGAGGTTCGTAAATACAGACATTTGTATGATTCAGCTCTCAAAGATCGCCGTGATCAACATGTTGTTAATAATTCTTGGAGAGAAATAGCTCGCACTGTCTGGAAAGACGAGAACGCTGTTAAAAATGCTGAAATGCCATGTTGTAAACAGGAATTTCTACTTCTACTATGGTGTAGTGTTGGGTGCATGCCGTAGAGCTCCACGCTGCCCCCTACAGTTTGGGAGAATATTGGCTCATCGCAGAGACAAGCCTAATGAACCATAATCGCTGCGAGTTGTGAAGCGCGTTCCATCCGCGAGCCGCATCACCAAGCGGAAAGTAAATGCGTCAAGCATAAACCAAGCTGAGGTGCGCGTTGCGGAAATTCTGGGCCGTGTGGAGGCGCGGTGGAGGGGCGTGGTTGTTAAAATGACGCAACTTTTCCGCGCGGAGCCGTGCGGACCTCGCGGATGCGTCAAGCATAAACCAACCTTTACATTTCTGTGGTGGAAACGAAACCCACAGCGCACTGCTGCCAACTAGCGGTCGGCGTTTGAATTGCACCAAAAGAAAAGAAAATACACAAATATTTTCATGTAAATTCCAGAGGTGGAAAGAGTACTAACATTTCCTACTTAAGTACGAGTACCAATACTTTGATAATTTTTTACTCAAGTACAAGTAAAAAGTATCGTAAATTAAATGTACTCAAAGTAAAAGTTACTTAGTTACATTTTTGTCAGCGTAAAGATGGCTAAATCAGTGCACACACACACACACACACACACACACACACACGCACGCACGCACGCACGCACACACGCACACACACACACACAGTTTGATGGAAGGATTTCTATCCAATCAGTGAGAACAGGACGTTCACATTGATTGGACGAGATTTTTCTAGGATTGTACGTTTCAACTGTGATTAAAATTATTCTTTATTTTGAAAATAAAAAAGTTAATTTTTAGATGCCATCAGTGTGTGAGGTATCTCAATGTTTTCATGACAAAACTCTAACATGAGACTGTGCTCTAACCTGTCACATAACAAGCTAAATGAAAGTCAAACATTTCAGATGGACCGTATGACAGCTGCTAACGATGGCCCTGCCCTACTTTACCTCTACATTACAGTTCCTTTATCCATGTCCATCCTAGAGCTCCTCTCTGACCTTCATGCTTATTTAGAGCAGCTGATTTTTAAAGTTAGCAGAGTTCATCCTTGGTAGTGGGTTCACTCACTCATTTAACCCTTCACCACTGAAATCAGTTTGTTCATTCCAATCCTCCTAAATAATCCTCCAATCATCCAGCTGGAATCCTTAAGGGTCCCGTAATGTCCATCCTGTCAGAACAGGCCTTGGGAGCCCAGGTGTTACTAGAACTAATGGTGTCTCCTCACCAGCGTGAGCCTCCAAACTGTGAAGGTTGGTCTCCAAACATGAACTTTAAATTCATGCATTCATCTCCTCTTGTAACACTTTAACATGTTTTAAAATGCTTGTATCATGATAAGTTACACCTCCCAGACCAAAGATAAGATAAAATATTATCGTAAACACTGCAGAGACGTCATTATGTATGAAATATGTTATTTTCCTGAGCCATTACTTCAGCCAAGTTATAGGATGCATGGATTTGATGAAACCACGCTGTCTCATGCAAGCATGTTAGAATCATTTGAATGACTAATTTAACTACATTGAACTGCTTTTGTAATAATGTAATCTCTTATTCTGGAGTAAAATAAAGAAACAAGCTAAATCATCACATATCTGTGGCATCAAGAAGCATCTTCTGAGTTCAAACACAGGGATGGAGCACAATGTTTACACCTGAACAGTATCAGGATGTTTTAACTCACAGAGGCCTGCAGGTCTTCTATTTTATGAGCAGAGCGCTGAGAATCCGCTTGTAGGAGCGCTAAACGTTATTTTGCCGCTGCCGTGCGGAGCGGTATAGAAACACATTTCAAACACGGAACCGTCCAGCTACAACCGAGCAGAATTCTGATGACGTCACACCGGCGCGCAAAGGTTCCAACCCACAGGAGAGGAGGTGAACAGCGAGTGGATCACAGGGACTTTTTGAGCAAAAGTGTAACGCCCCACGGTTTAGACGCGGCGCTCATGCAGGTGTCTCTTTCCGTTCCGACGCTGCTACACGTAATATTTTTAATTTATTAAGCCTACAATTTATTTTTACTCAGTAACGGATATGATTTAAAATGTAGCGAATTACAATTCTTCTTTAAAAACGTACTCATTTAAAAGTAAACGTACAGCTTTTAAAGACGACTTAAAAAGTATAAATACACAAAGAAGCTACTCAGTTACAGTAACGTGAGTAAATGTAATTCGTTACTTTCCACCTCTGGTAAATTCTTCCTAAAATTCAATACACGCCTTTGAATACTGATATAATATTGCAGGAAAAAGTATCACGATATATTGTCATTCCAGTATTTTCTTACATCCCTAGTCTAAATAAGTCTCAGGTTACCAGAGGTGGAAAGTAACGAATTGCATTTACTCACGCTACTGTAAAAAGCGGGCGGCGCTGGAAGGCTTTAGCAGGCTGGTGACCCAGTAGAGGGTGACGAGCGCTGCTGGCTCACCTTTTGTCTCCACCTGATTGAACTCAGCCTGTTTCCTCTCCTGCAGCAGCTGGTTTCAAGGCAACTTTCCTCAGCAACGCTCCCTGTGGTGTCTACAAGTACAAGCTGCCCAACGCCAGTCGGACCGAGAGCTCGGTGGGAACAAAAGTGTTCTTCTTCAAAGCTCTCCTGGAGGACAGAAGTCCAGCAGAAGCTCCCAGCATGCCTTTGGTTTGGGTGAAGAGAAGTGAACTGCAGCAGTACCTGAAACCAAACTACAAGATGAAGGTCGACCGCTTCTTCCTCAGCCTGTGACTCTGTCCACTGTAGCAGGAAGTCTGCCTCCATGTTTTCTTCTGTTATTACATATCTCGTCCCTCAATAAAACCTGTTCCTTTCAGTACAGGAATTCTTTGTTTTTCGAGACACAATAGAGCAGAATCGGATCTGATTCACATCCAGCATCACTCCAGAGCAGGACGGGTGAAAAATGATTGTTTGATTGATCCTGAAGTGAAAATAACACAAGAAAAGGGTGAAAGTAGCAGCTGGTGTCTGGTACCAGGCCCGTGGAGGGGACGTGTCGGTCATCAGTTCTCACATTGTACACAACATAATTATAACTGTCAGTCATCTGTTGGGTCCTGCTGTCAGCAGCTTTTATTTATAAGGTTATTAGCTTCCTTATCATCTTCAGACCCATCACATCCAGAGTTATTTAGAGTTCCTCTGCGGTGCTCACTGGGAAACATGGCTGTCAGCTACCCCCCACACTGGTACCGAGTTTGCCTTCAGAACCACCTTCATTCTACATGCCATAGAAACAAGGTGTTGCGAACCTTCCTCGGAGGTTCTGCTCCATCCTGACATGACGGCAACCCCAAAGGTTCTGGACTGAGCTGAGATCTGGTCACTGTGGAGGTCATTAGAGTCCAGTGAACTCACGGTCATGTTCTAGAAACCAGTTCGAGATGATCTGAGCTTTGTGGCACGGTGCGTCATCCTGCTGGAAGTAGCAACAGGTGCGGTCTTCTGCTGCTGGAGTCCATCTGGAGCGGCTGGTCGTTCTGCAGACCTTGGCGTGAACCAGTGGTTTTTAGAGCCGCTGTTCTATCATCTAGAACCAGTCTGATCGTTCTCTGTGAATCCTAGAGATGGTTGTGGGTTCAAATCCCAGTAGACCAGCTGACTCTGAAGCACTCAGTATAGGACTAATATAAAACATTTTTCATTGATTTATCAGGTCTGTTTAGGGTGGGTACCTGTTAGCCGAGCTTGCAGCTCAGTGCTTTCATTGTTAGTCAGACTAAATTATCTTTATTCTGAGATCACACGGATCCTTTTCACGTTTGTTTATTTAGCTGGATTTGATTCTCTCCCACTCAGAACGAGAGCTTCCAAAACCCTCGTTCTTTTCTTCTGACATTAACGAGATTTCAGTGTCAGATCCCGGAAAATTCACGTTTAACATTCAGGAGGTCCGCTCTGGATTCATCTGCAGCACAACTACACTCATTCATAAGCGAGCAAACGCGGGGGTCGGACTGGAAATGAATTACAGCTCAGACGTCTGTGATGCCATGTTAAATATCTGAATGTGATCATAAGAATCATCTAGAATGACCATGAGTGGCTCAGATGCAAACTACAGATTTGAGGAAAGTTGCAGATCAGAGGGAGCAAATTCTGAGGATGGCTCTGATGAGCCGGACCAGATGAGAGGGTGAAAGTCCCACCCTCTCACTCGTGGTGTTTTAAAGCACCTGATAAAGAACTACAGTCAAATGTTAATAAAAGATTTTTCAATCAGAAAAATGCCCTATTTGTTTGTATGGAGGGGGCGGGGCTTGCTGGTCCTCTGGCTTCAGCTGTAATGACCGTATTCTGATGCACGCCTGCCTGACTCTACCCTACAGATGCTTACGGCCGCTGAGAGAAGATAACATTTTCATTTCCTGTATTTTTCTCATGTAACATTCCTAAAACTGACTCGGTCAAAAGAAAAAACCAAAACCTTTCAAAACAAAAATGTTTTTACCAACTCAAAAGCAAATGTATGGCAAGCACTGGGTCAACATAATAATGGATACAACAACACTGTAAAGCACTTGTTTCTGTTACACCAGTTTGTGTCTCAAATTAATGAAAAATTAAAAACACATGAAGGTTTTTGTTGGTGTGGATAAAGGACAGACGGGATAATGTCTCCTGACTTTTTATGACACACACACACACCTGTTGATGTTCCTGATGATGAAGTTCAGCAGCACGTGTCCTCGTCTCAACAGTAGGTGGCAGTATTTACACAGCAGCCAGGGAGAGAGGGCCCTCCAGGAGAAGCAGCGTGATTAAGGCCTGGTGACCCAAAGGGTCATCTTCGTCTGACACAGGCTGAAATCATCCATCACAGCAGGCTAATGCTCTCTAAGGTAAAGGCTATCTGGTGTTCCCACTTTTCCTGCCAGGACAAGAAGATGTTAATGCTAACAAGTTGGCCCAACCTTTCTGTTTCCAGCCTCAGCTGGAGGACGGTAACTTGTGCTGTTGGTGAGATTATTATTTAGCTCCACACGTGAGGTCAAAGGAGGCCAAACTCTGTGCCGTCTGATCGGAGGACAGCCAATGGGCTGACCAGTCGGCCGGGTCTGGTTGTGAAAGCGAACGTGAGATTATGATAATGACACAGACAAAACTCGAGCAGTGGCAGCTTTTATCTCCGTTGGGAGTCTGGTGAAAGCCTCCTGTGAAAACCCTCGTATGTTTTATGTATGTGTAAATTCTTCAGCAGCTTGGTCACATCTCAGGAAAACTGAAGATCCCTGTTGATGTCATTCAGCAGGGTTTTTACGGGCTTGAATGGAGTTCTGGGTGTAGGACTAGAAGGCCTGCACAGCTCACACTCCTCTTTGATTTTCACCTTTGTCAAACCTTCCTCTGACTGTCCAAACTTTATGGAAGCAACACACCCAATCTCAGTAGTACTTCAAAGGGCCACTGCAAGGATTTCACCCTGGACTCAGCCATCAGGGGCGCCACTTTTTAGTTGGAAAACTCTCCCAAACGCTAAATGTCACTAAAGGAAGTTGGCCAAATCTTCCAAATAACCCAGGTGCTTCCACGAGACAGCTTCTGACTAAAGGATGTTTACGTGTATGAGACAGGCCACGTCAGAATCACCCCGTTTACACAAGAGTGGTTCATTTAGATGAACTCAAACATACAAAGATGATTCTATGTGGCTGTCTACTGGTTCACACATTCACACACACACACACACACACACACACACACACACACACACACACACACACACACGCGCGCACACACACACACGCACACGCGCGCACACACACACACGCACACACACACACACACACACACCTGCCTAGAATCACACAGGTGCAGATGCCAAATCATGGAGACAGGTGGAGGATGAAAGAGCTGGATCGTGGCTTTACACTGATGAAGCTCCCCACAATGTTTCTCCCTGTTCAGTAAGAAACAGCGAGATCGCACCAGCTCATCACACATCTGGCCACCTTTCTGCATCTGGAAAGAGTAAAGGAGGGGTAATAAATGCTGCTAGCTGCTTTAAAAACCTCTGACTGCAGCTTTAGGAACAACTCCATCCAGACTACGGTGCTGGTACAACTGTTGTCTCTGCAGATTCAAACTGATATTAAAGCAACAAAAGCTTTGATTCTTGTCTTTTGTCCACAAACCTTATTTATGTCATTCTTCAGTGGATGCAGAGGAATGCCAGACCAAGGAGCTCCGCTCCGCTAGTACCATGCCCATTTTAGGACATCCAAAAGTCTCAGCAAAACATCCCAAGAGGAGAAAGCACCAGGTAGTAGAAAAAAAGCTGTCAGATGAACAGAAGATGAGGTTTTAGTAGAAAAAGGTATCAGGTTTTAGATGAAGGTCAGAGGAAAACACATCTGCTGTCAGCAAATCATAAACTTGAACAGGAATCTAAGTAGAGTTTTGTGGTTCATTCTGAGACTGTTAAAGTTCAATAATACCTGATTTATTTAGAAACATCTGTTGTACGTTCGTTCTGTGCGTTTTATCCAACTGCATCACAGTTATTGAGAAAAAGTGTTATTCGTACCTTTTGCTGTGTTAAAAAAGAACCGCAGTGCAGCTGATTTCCTTTTGTTTGTCAACATTTTCCTGTGAGACCTGACATGTGGTGAAGAGAGAGATCTGCGTTCCTACCCTCACCAATGGCCACGAGCTTTGCAGTAACCGAAAGAAGGAGATCACGGATACAATCGGCCAAAATGAGTTCTTTCAGGGCTCTCCATTATGACGCTTTCACATCTGGGCCGGCACGGACCAGCCCTGGTAGGATAATTGTGTTCACATCTGGTGTATCTGTGTTTTCCGTGCTCAGCAGACCGTTTTTTTTACCTGCTCCCTAGTAATACTCTGTTGTACGTTTGTTCTGTGTGTAACTTCAAAATCCATTACTTTGCTCTTGTTTTCTGCTCTCCAGTAGTCAGCTTCATGCGGAGTCGACCTAACAGATCCACCACCGGCTGATTGGCTGGCTGAAGTTCACTCCTACCTATAGAGGGAGCCTCTGATTGGTGGGTAGAATCAGCCAGCTGCGGCTTCCCTCATGTGCAGTGTTGGCAATGTTACTTTTGAAAAGTAATTAGTTATGGTTAGTAAGTACTTTGTCAAAAAAGTAACTCAGTTAGTTACTGAGTTACAAGATTACAAAAGTAGTTAATTACCAAGAAAAGTAACTATTTTGTAACTTTTTTCGTAGACATATGCAAGGAAAATGGAATCCCCTCTTAATTAAAATGACTTACTTTACTATAAATTACTACAATTTTAAAATAAAAATGACTAAACAGATTTGAATAAAATAAAATGTGTCTAAATGTTTATTGTAAAACTGAATAATTGAAACAAATGGGCACATAACAGTAGTATCTACAAACAGGAAACATGACACTAATCCAAACTATTCAAATGTCACTGAATAGTGAAAAACACCAATCAACTAAACTTTACAATTGCAAATAGAAACACCTGTAAAGGGTTTCTGAACCTTAAAATTGTCTCTTGGTCTAAGTTGAATTACTGAAATAAATGTAATTTTGGGACAGTATTCTAATTTCTCCAGTTTGACAGAATTGTGTGTTTTTGCTAGCATTTATATTACTCATGACCGTGTTCTTTAAATTTAAATCCTCAAAAATGACAGGCCCAAATCTGGCCAAGGACTCAAATTTACTAACATGCGTCAGACCCAAACACAGAGGAGCTGAAGCTGGGTGGTAAAGACACACACATGTCTGCAGTGGTCCCCAGACTGGAACTCTCTCCCCCTGAGATCGGTGGACTCAGTGGTCTCCTTTAAAACACAGCTGAAAACTCACCTGG